ACATATTTAATCCATGAACCACATTCTTCCTACTAAATGCAATTTGCCTAACTGCCTATAAAGTAAAATCTTTAGAGATATGTATCCCTAAGCAAAATCAATAGAAATATTGACCGCTGCCTTGGTAAAATATGGTTTAAATAAGTGATCTTGTGTAATTTTCAAGAGTTATTCCATTTGTACCCCGATAAATAACTTTTACCACATAGCTACCAAAGCAAAGTGTTTTTTAATCAAATTAAAAACATGCAAAATAAGGGATTTTTTTTCTTGGCTCTGTGCTACCCATCTTGTGGTTATCTTTATAGTTTTATGGTATTTCATTTCTCTTATCCATGTATGATTATAGTCTGTATCAGAATATTTACGTGCAACTTTCAGTTTGTTTTAGCTAAGTAGGTTAAGGTTTGATCCAAGTTTCAATGGCATTAATAAGTTGTTCCACTCTGCATGTCTTTTTCTTCAACTCTCTCGCCTGCAAGCCCTTAACCATACGAGTGGCCCTTCTCTGGACCCTCTCCAGGTTATCCACATCCCTCTTAAAGTGTGGCACCCAAAACTGGATGCAGTACTCCAACTGCGGTCTGACCAGCGCCCGATAGAGGGGAAGTGTCACCTCCTTGGTTCTGTTTGTCATGCACCTGCTGATGCACGATAAAGTGCCATTGGCTTTGCTGATGACTTCGTCACACTGACGACTCATATTCATCTTGGAGTCCACTAGGACTCCAAGATCCCTTTTCGTTTCCATGCTACCAAGCAGGTCATTTCCTAGGCAGTAGGTATGCTGGACATTTTTCCTCCCTAGGTGCAGCACTTTGCATTTCTCCTTATTGAATTGCATTCTATTGTTTTCTGCCCATTTGTCCAACCTGTCCATGTCTGCCTATAGTTGTTCCCTGCCCTCCAGTGTGTCCACTTCTCCTCACAGTTTTGTATCATCCACAAACTTGGACAGAGTACATTTCACTCCCTCATCCAAGTCACTGATGAAGACACTGAAGAGCATCGGTCCAAGGACCGAGCCCTGCGAGACCCCCCTGCCCCTGTCCTTCCAGGTTGATACTGACCTGTCCACCACCACTCTCTGGGTTCAACCCTTTTGCCAATTTGCCACCCACTGGACTGTGAAATCATCCAAGTCACAGCCTCTTAATTTGTTCACCAGTATGGGGTGGGATATCGTATTGAAGGCCTTCCTGAAGTCTAAGTAGACAATGTCTACCCCTACTCCTGCGTCCAGGTGTTTTGTAACCTGGTCATAAAAAGAGACTAGATTAGTCAGGCACGATCTGCCTGCTATGAACCCGTGCTGGTTTCCCCTCAGCATAATTTTTCCTGCTGGGCTCTCACATATATGAGCCTTAATAATCTTTTCAAAGACTTTGCCAAGGATGGAGGTGAGACTGACCGGCCTATAGTTGCCTGGATCCTCCTTCCTCCCCTTCTTGAAAATAGGGACCACATTGGCCCTTCAAATATTCCCCCCAGTGGCGGTGCAATGACATCAGCCAGTGCCTTCAGTACCCTCGGATGGAGCTCACCCAGGCCTGCTGACTTAAATGAATCCAGTCCTTCCAAGTGACTCTGCAACATCTTGGGGTCAATGCTTGGTAGTCTGGTGCCCTGCTGTTGCCTCTCTACACTCCTACTGTGAGACTTGTCTTGCCCCTCGTTTAGGAACACTGAGGCAAAGAACTGATTGAGGAGTTCAGCCTTGCCCCTCCTGTCTGTCACCAATTGCTTTTGCCCATTCAGTAGTGGTCCTATACCGCCCTGGGACTTCCTTTTATTTCCTATATACCTGAAAAACAATGTTTTTGTTATCCTAACTTGGGATGCCATCCTCAGCTCCACGGTAGCTTTGGCCTTTCTAACTGCCTCCCTACAACTGCGAGCTGTGGAGGTATACTCCTCTTTAGTAATCTCTCCCTGTTTCCACTGCTTATATGCCCCCTTATATTAGTTTACTGTGGCCTAATAGGACTGCATGTGTAGATTCTGAGACTTTACAGTGGAGCTAATGAGACAACTCTGCAGTAAACCTCTTGTGTAGATTCACCCAGTAGGTCTACCATGCAGACATACCATGCAGACCATGCAACATATTGTATTATGTTGCATAAAGAAATTATAAGCACCTACAAATTATATCCATATGAGAAGTTAGTGTGGAAAACCTAATTGGCTGTAAATTCACATTTGCAGCCATATTGGAAGACCCTTTCTAGAGAAACACCAAGAAAAATCCAAATATTTACAAATGTGTCTTGTCAAAGGGTTTAATTCTGTGGTGTGCCAATTGCATACCACTAAAATCTTTCACTTGCCACTAGATGAAACAGATTAGTAGTCTCAGCTGAACAGACAATGTCTGAGTCATCCTCAAAGACCTAACCATCATCGTGTTAATCCTAAAGTTGGTCTAACCAAGCACTGCCAAGATATACTGATAAGGCATAGTGAATAAGCTTGTATTTCTGCTGACTTTCTTTTATATTCTGAGGACTTCATAATAAGGGAAATTCAAACTAATATTAACAGAAGTACTGAATTTACAAAAAAAAAAGAACAAAAACACTTTTTGGTTTTCCATAAATGTTGTTTTCTTATTCTTTAGTTACTGGTCACTGTCATTCTTAATCTTTTAAAGTGCTCAATATTCTTGTAGAAGTGCAAAAATGTTATGAAAATTACCCCCCTACCCCTCTAAAAATGCTAGTCCTAGTCACCTAAAACCTAATGCAAATAAAGACTGTATTTTGTAGTGGAAACATACTGTTTTTTGGAAATATACTTACTTGGTTATACTGTTTTCCTGGAGTTCAGAAAACATTAGGATTACACATTTCAACAACAAATACATCAGGCAATTTGAAACCTCGTTGAAACAAAGGTCTGCACATTCATTGAACATCCTTAACATTAATAAGCCTGCTCTCAGATGTTATAGAAAAAATATAACAACCTTTCCCCACCCTGATCCATGTCCTCCCCACTGCAACCTGATCCATGTCCTCCCCAAATTATCAAAACATTATCCTTTAACACATTTTCCATTATTTTTGAGAAACCCAAATCCAAGACAAAAAAATGAGACTCTGATCACACTTCCCCATATACTTATCGAAGAAAGCAGAACAGAATGTGTTATGTAGCTGTTGGTGAGGTTATAAATTAGCTGGACTAAACAGATGCAGATAATGTACAATTTGTTCCCAAAAGTACACCTTCACAGATTGAGATTTTTAATACACCAATAATTAAGCAGCATTTTAAACTAGGATACTAATTTTGATTTGTATGCATAAAAACACCAATTGTATTATTGTAATGAACACAGAGGTACATGAGCTGAGCTTCAGCAGCAATACAGCGGTCCTTAATTGTATTCATATGAGACAGGGTAGGATGGCAATAAAACTAAAAATGTAAATGTGAAAACGCTCATTTTCTGATTTATAGATATATATCAACATTGACATAGTAATACATACTAAAGGGACAATATATAGTAAGCTGATTTTTTTATTTATTCCTGTATTATCATTGTAAAACCTTTACTGCAGTCCTAATGGAAAGGCTTCAGAGCCATTAGTGAGATATGCAAAAATATGTAAAATTACAGTTTGAAGCATATTATACTAGAAATTCAGGCAAAGTGGCTTAAGATACTCATGCACTAATAAGTCAATCTTCTGGATTCAGTGATATAAATTTTAACTTTAGAGCCTTCACTGGGATCTGGATTTCAAATCACAGGAGTAGAGCTACAGTCCTTAAATCTTAATCACATGTCCCAGGGCAATGGACAATCTGAAAGGTGGGATACAGTGGCACAGCATTTAATTCAAGAAGGGAAGCAGAAGAAAATGATAGGCCATGATGCTTTATCACTGTCATATTCCCACCTCTACTGGTTGGAAATGCAATACGTTTTCCAAGTCATCACATATAGATAATGGTGTAAAATCCTTAGAACTAGCAAGGGAAGGGGAAGTGAGATGAAATTAAGTGGTGCGACATTAATATGTTCTCATTGAGCAAGTATATCCTGAAGGTATACCTAGAAATTAGTGCTCTCCCATAAAGATCAATGACTGCAGAAACATGAAATATTTTTAATGAGCTATGGAGATCATGCCTTTTTGGGTTTTCAATAGAGCTAAATCATCATAGATCAGGAAATTAAGTACAGGTCCTCTTTCAGCTTAAAGAAGAGTTTGCAGATACATGTGCAAGATGTCATGATGCTCATGTAAAGACAGCCTTTTTTCCAAACACTGCATGACTGCCTTTCTCTCAATGACAGCAATTTAACTAATTCAGATTCTATGAAATAGCTTAGCATGCATTTTCAGGTCCCTTTTGATGAACCCAGTTGTAACTTTTCTAGGCATGCAAGGAATAAGAAGCAGTGAACAAAAAGTTGACAGAATAATTAAATGTCTTTACTGAAAAGGAACAATTATTGAACCCTGCAATATAAAGTGGGTACAGAATATATATTTCACCTCCATATGTGTTGTCTTCAGTCTACAAATAAATGTTGTGCTGATCTAAGCAAGTTTATTCTGAAAAGTCTTTTAACCTCTGTGTTCATCAGTGAATGCTTTTACACAGTAAAATATCTAGAAGCATTTTATGATAGCATTTACTTTTATGCTATTCCTGATATACAAACTATATCATTTTTAAGTCAAGTTTTTCCCTCTTTATGTAACAGACTTGCTTCCCCCGTACAGTGAACTTATCATGAAAGCAAGAATATAATTGAGTTTTCTTTAAAGCTTTTTAAAATTCATGAATTTTCTTATCATTTTTCAGCAAAGCAAAAGTATTTTCAATCCGTCTTTAACTTTAGTGTTTAATATTAGCACATTTTAAATGTTATAGAAATAGAGTGGAATTTTTTTTTTTTTTGCTTAAGTAGTATTTGAATTAGTATGAGATTTAACATTACCAACAGGTTGGTTTCACTGTTAAATGTGCTTGGTTACCTGTCACAGAGCTGTCTAGATTGTCCATGCTGGATCCTGGTGTATGCTCTAGACCTCTTAGTGGCCTAGTTATTTCTATAGCTTCCTCTTCAATATCATCCTCATCATCATCTGGAACATCTGTTTCTAAATCTGAAATAAGGTTTCCAGATACATATCCCAGTGGTGGAACTGGAGCCTGAGGAGGTTGAGTATTGCTTTGGATATGCCTATAAAACAAACAGAAAAATACTGTTAAGAGGATTGCAAGATGTTGCTTTATTTGTACATAAGGACGTAAATCTTTGGTATATCTTGAAAAATATTTACAAAGATATTTGTGGGTTTTTTTTTACTAAAAAGTTAACTTCTATATCCAACTTTGCCATTTATCTGGCCTCTATTACCATGGTACTTCAGCAGTTCACAGCCTTTAAGATATTCCTCTTCACAATAACCTCCAAGATATAGGGAAGTGCTATTATGCTCATTTTATAAGGCATGGACAGACAAAATACTTTGCTTTAAAAGAGGACTGGGAATTTACCATGATTTAGCTGATTCAGCTGTAAATGTCTGCTGTTCACTTTCTCCTGTAGTAAGTAGAAGCTAAACCATAAAAGTTTATTTCCCTGCTTTATTTAGAGCAAACCCATTACAATTTAGCTTTACTTATGGTATGACAGTAGGAGATAGATGAAATAGTTACAACCAATCAGCTGATATACATTCATTAGTGGTGAGTTTCCCTGCACTCCTTGAAGCGGTATAATTGCTCACTTACTCAGACCTCCAGTTGAGGAACCAAGACACAGAGAGACTGTTTGTTCCCTAAAGAGTCTGTGGTAAACAAGGTCTCTTGAACCACAAGTTCGTGCTCTAATCACTGAGCTATCCTTCCTATCCTGTATAGGACAAAACCCTCTACATTATGCTTGGGTTGTTTTACTCAAACTATTAAATAGAATTCAGACTGAATAATGATACAAAGGACAGAAGAAATTCTCATGCTTCAGTGCTTCTGAAAGGCAATATTTAATTTGCTCAGTTAGAACTACCTTATGCTCTCATGTCTATTGTGCCCCAGAATAAGATGCGCACCTTGTTTTTGAAAACCACAATGAAGAAAAAAAAAAAGACTTGTTCTTGTAGTAAGAAACTGAGTAGCAGCAGCTAGGGAGGCAAGCCTGCTCATTGTTCTGCTCCCCATGGGGCAGGTGCAGACGTTACTTTAGATTTTGCCCAGTTAAGTAGGAGAAACTACTGTTGCCATATTTCCTTGCATATAATACGGATTCAAATATTTAGTCACTGGTTTGGGGGAAAATGGCGTGAGATGTATGTAAGAAAATACAGTGATTTAATTGAGGCATAATCAGATGGATATGTATATCACTACTTCTGATGGACAAACCAAAAAAGGATCAGGAAGTCCAATACAAAAGGAATAGCCATTAAGTATGTATGCAGTGTCCTCCGCAGCATGGTAAGTATAAAGGTACCTGACATTCCCACAAATTGTCTTGCAAAGTGGACCATACTACCCCTGAAACTTGTTCTAGAGGCAGCAGGAAAGCCAAAGCCAATGAATGTTCATGTGGTCACAGGACCTGATTCAAATTAATGAACCATTCAGATTCCTTTTTTTGCTATTATGCTCAGACAATAGAGTAAATGACAATTGTCAACCGTGCGGCCAACTAGATCTAACAGTTTTCTTTTTGATGAGAACTTTACAGTGTGTTATGCCTATACATCCATATTAAGTACACTAGCTTTCTTTTTTATTATTCAAATAGTCTTCCTTTTCTTTTAATAGTGAATCATGGTAGTAAAAGACTTTGTAGGATTTGGAGCACTTAATGGTAAATGTTATACACCAGGGAAACTGAGGTCTCTTTCTACCTTAGTGTAGTTAAAATGAGCTTGTTTTTGCAAATCATATGGAGATGAGATTCTTCTATCGTAATTCCTTTCCTTTATAGTTCATAATTTTTCATTCTCAAGTTTGGAACATGGGTGCTTTGGTCAATAAGATAACTTTGAAGGGAACTATTGACAAACAGTATGATTATGCCCCAATTAAGCACAGTACTTAAGAAGGTGCTTAACTTTAAGCATGGGGTGGAACAATTGAAGTAATTGAGACTTCAGGCATACTTATAGTTAAGCATGTACTTAAAAGGTTTGCTGGATCAAGGCCCCAATGATTATGTATTTTTTCCAGTAATCTCTAATGCTTAAATCTCCAGTCAGTTCATCTCTAAATTTGCTTCCCAATACTCCTGAAGTAATTAATCAGACTCCTTTTTAGCTCCTTTATTTTCTTTCCAAAACAGCTAAGAAAATGAAGTACCAAATCTTCCTTTCTAATAGCATGATTTAACTCCTATAAGTCAACGACAGCGATACTCCATTGATTTTGAAGCATGGTAGATCAACTCTTTAAGAGAGCAGAACATATAGGGCTGTGTGGTAGAAAACCACAGAGCAACCACATGTCACACAACTGCTATAAAATCATCTCTCTCTACTGGAAGCACTGCAGGTTTACTATATTAGCCAGAAATCTACTACTACATCCCAGTGAGAATAGGAAAACCTGTTCATTTCCTATTACAGATGATATTTTCCAGGGTTTCCTGCTCAATTACTGTGGACTTTCACAGGAGTGATTTTGAAATCTGTGAATTGCTAACTATATTAGGAAAGCCCATGATTGGCTTTCTGCAGCCACTCCAGCAAAGGGAACAACACCCAGACTCTCTGCTGCAAGCTGCTTTGCTGGCAAGAGTCTTACAGTGTTATCTGACACCAAAATAGCACCTGCAGTTTGTCGGCTATGGAAGCGTAACAGCTGCAAAGCACAGCCAAATTGACTGCATAACCAGGGCATGCATCTGTGCGCTGGCTCTGAACTCAGATATCTAGAATAGGCCAAGCATAGCTGTTTCCTGGGATTTGAATCTGTTCCGCAGGCAGACTGGGGCCTCTGTTTGGCAATGTGGAACTGCACTGGGGCCTAAGTATCCTGTTGCTTCAATGCAGCTTGCAAACGAGCCTCGAGGCTTGGTGAGTGCCAAGGGAAAACAGCTGGCTTTGATTTGGCACCGGCTGCCTACCTGCCTGTTCAATTTATGGTGGCTTCTGCTGAATAAAGTTGTGGCCTTTGTTTGCCAATGAAGCATGCCTGCCTCTTTACTGGCAGAGTGCCATTCAGCCACTAGCTGTACTTTATCCTCTGAGATTCGCAGCCTCTTTTTTTTGTCTGGATGGAAATGTTTTAAAAGGACAACTGCCACTTAAGGGACATCCAAAAAGCAACTGACCTTCAGTTCTACCCCCAGTCCTGTGCAGCTGGAAAGTTCTTTTTGAGTCCCTGAAGAGATTGCTCTGTTTGTTTTATAAGGAAAATGTTACAGTGATATTTGCTTGCTCTTCTTTAAATAGGCAAAAACCAGTCTAAGATTCCAGCTCTGTTCTGTAAAATTCAACTTCTGCCTTGCTGTTTTTGTCTTCTTTCTTGGTATCAAAATTAGAAGGGATATTTCACTGTACTGTCAAAACTGTCAGGGTACACTAGGAGGCTAGGGACAAAGTTACACATAAACCAGTTTAAGTGATCAGAAACTGGTTTAAATGTAACAGAAAAGAAGTTCAGTGCACATAAGCCAGTTTCAAAATGCCCCAAATTGGTTTATGATAAACCCAGTTGAATGTAGTATCAGACTTAACTTATTGAGGTCAAACTGGTTTATGGCACTTCGGTCCCAGACCCCTTCCTAGTTGCAGTTAAATCAGAGTTCCCCAGCATCCCAGAATGTACTGCAGCTCTGGGCTGGGCTGGGCTGGGCTGGGCTGTCTGCTCCAGAAAGGAAGGCTGGCCCTGCCCCTCTGCTCTTTAGCCAGAGCAGGGGCAGGGGCATGGCCTCCTAAAGCAAAGGGGGCAGGGAGGGGGTTTATTCTCCCTCCTTCCCCGCTCTCACTGGGAGACCTTGGCCACTGTCTACGTCACTTGCCCCTGACCAGGCAGACCCTGGCTGGGGTTCTCCTGTGGGAGAGGGGAGGGAGGGAGGAATAAACCCCCTCCCTTCCCCCTTTGGCCCAGCTGGCCATGCTGACCAGCATCTAGCCATGGCCCTGCCCCCGCTGCTGGAGCAGCAAGGGTTGGGGGCCCCAACAGGGGCAACAGCCCCTGCCATGGTGTCCCAGGGAACACAAGCCTCTTCCCAGTGGGAGGGCTGTGCTGCAGGTGGGGGTGGGGCAGGCAGAGCTGCCGCAGCCTGCATGGGGTAGGCAGTGGTGGCAGTGGGACTGGGAGGGGTAGCTACAGGGACTAAACCAAATTTTGAGGTGGCCATAGCCTCCCAAGTCCACCCAGCCCTGCTGCTGCCACCTCTCACCCTGAGCAGCCTGCAGCAGCTCTGCCTGCCCTGCCCCCCACCAGGAAGAGGCTTGCACACCCAGGACAAGCCATCACTGCTCCAGTGTCAGGGGCATGGCCAGATGCCAGCTGGCATGGCCCCCTGAGGCAAAGGGGCCAGGAAGGGGGTTTATTCCTCCCTCCCTGCCCTCTCCCACTGGGGGAACCCCAGCCAAGGTCTGCCTGGCCAGGGGCAAGTGGCAGAGATGGCGGCTGGGGCTGGCAAACACCAGCTGCAGTCCCCTGATGGGAGAGTGGAATAAACCCTCTCCCTGCCCTTTGCCTCAGGGGGCCATGTCAGGCCAGTGTCTGGCCATGCCCTTGCCCCTGCTGCTAGAGAGGTGAGGGAGGGGGACTCTGGCATGGGCTGCTCTGCCCTGGTCAGGCAGGCCCTGGCTGCAGTCCCATGGGGGGTGGAGAAGGGTGGGAGGGGGAATAAACCCTCCCACCCCCTTTGCCGTAGGGGGCCACGCCAGTCAAGATGGGGTCCCTGCAGGTCATGGTGGGAATTTAAAACCCTCCCCAATCATACTCAGACCTGACGAGGCCTGGCCACCCCCCCACCCCCACCCCCTCCAGCTCAGTATCCCTCAGCCACTGTGAAAAGGAATGGAGGGCTCGCTCTAGCCCCACTGGCTCCTGGCCTGAGTCACTTCAGGCATGTGGCTTCATTTCTGGAATCAAGTGAATGTCTATTCACTTGCTTGCTGGTTCAATCTACACAGGTTAGACTAACCTGCAAAACTGAATCAATTCAGTCTCAAGCTTTTTCAGTATCTGTACTTAGCCTTATTCATTCACACACAAAGATAATTTTTTTGGAGGTTTTGAAGGTGAATGATTAGATGGTGTTTTAGTGTTTAAATGGTGATTTAGTGTTTCATCAAGTTAAGTTCGCAAAAATGTATGTTATTTGCCATCCTAACAATAAAATATTCTGAAATGTATGAATAATGATTACTTGTTGAAGGGAGTTAATCTGCTTACTATATACCCGCATTTCAGATATTGCCTGTGGATGTGGTGTAAAGCAAATGTTTGACATACTTCCTTGGTCTGTGGTTTCAAAAATGTACAGGAAGTTTTAGAGTCTGGGTTATAGTTTATTGAGATAGATTTTCTCAATTTCAATTTATAGTTTCAGATACATTCTTAACTGTTGTTATAATGGTTTTGCCATTGGGTAGTATATTATTCTTTTTTCATCTTCCAAATGGCATATGCCTAATTCAGACATTTACCACGTTTGCTTTGCTATGTCAAACTGGTAGGCCCTGGTTAATTCTTCAAGATGGGCTTGAAGCATTGGCTGCATTTCCTCTCGTGGAGATGGTGTGAGTGTTGCAGTAGACTGTTGTCCAAAGGAGATTGCAGGTGAGGAGGCAACCCCTCGGACAGGAGGCGTAGGGACTCTGTCATCATCTTCTTCAAGCTCATCCTCCATGCCCTGATGTAAATATGTTTGAACTGGCAAAGGGGGACACCAACCATCACTGTCATAGCTGAAATAAAGAAAATGTAAATTGATTACCTGTCAAATCCAGTTTCTTATGCATACCTGAGGGGTAGATAGGGATCTTAGATTAGAATACCACTCTGGCATGCTGTTTATAGGCACAGCAATAATTGCTGAAATTCTTCATCTTTGTTTTCTTTGTTTAATTTCCCCCTTAATAGCTAAGCAATTTGAACAAGATTTGCAACAACAAACCACATGTCCATTATCACATTTGTTAATGCTGATTAGATAATGTTACCCTCACAATTACCAAAGGAAATGAACTAACTCACTTTCTGGACTATTAAGCTAAGAGATTTGCATTAAAGATGTACCTGCATCAAGACATGAAAGCCCCAACTGCTCATTAAAAGGCAGAGGACGAATTCCAGTAATTTAGGCAGAGCACTTTCTAGCTTGCACCCCCCTTAGTAAGCAGATGTTAAATCTCTGCTTCCATCCCCAAAACAGTGACTAGGAATGTTGGCCCGGTCCAAGAGCAGTTTGGAAGGTTTGTAGTTACCATTATTACACATTTAATCGGTTACTGAACCTTGTGACTGGAAAGACAAGCTGCCTTTTCTCTTACTGTTATGTGACCAGCTGGATGTTTTACTACCACTAATGTGACTGCCCCCATCATATAGGGATGTAGAAGAGTGGGGAGGGATCATGATAGCTGTCTATGATCATTTGACCTAAACTGAGATCCCTTCTAGCACAGGCCTGAGCTGAGCACTAGGGTCCAGAGTTGGGCCTGACTTGCAAAGGAGAGAAAAATGGGGGAGGAACATAGATTACAATATAAACATTTTACTTTATTAGTAGTTTAACAGGTTTTGTTTTCAATGAATTAAATTTCAATGCATTCAAGTTACAGTGTCCATAGAAACTGAAATCTGTCCTCATTGCATGTCTGTACACTAAATGACATAATAAATACACATAGCAGCAACATCCCCCAAAGCTGGCTGGAAGGTTGAGTAAGATGGTATAAAGGTATTGTTGGCACTTACTGAGTACCTGAGAATAACAGAACTTACCTAACCTCATGCTAATATAGAACTTATGGTGTAAAATCCTGTCATATATATTCTCTCTCTCTCTCTCCTTTTTTCTCAATTCCATACTTTATTATGCTGATTTTTTCTTTTTAAATAGACACAAGAGAGAAAGAAGTCCATAGTGACTTCCTGGAGATGCATTAATGAGCTCTGGGTGCATTTGTCTTGTGACCCTACTTGTTTCAAATGACCCTATAACCAGTTTGAGAGGTCTGTTTCTTAACATCTGAAGACTCTCCATAGGTTCTCTCTCTTCACATTATTTTTGAAGCTGTAAAGCTGTAGCTGTAAAATCCTTGGGTTCAGTTGGGATACTGAAACCCTTCGCAATTTTAATTTTAAATTCCTGTACAAATTTCTGCAAGAAAAAAGGTTAAAAAACCAATACTGCTACAAAGTAACTTTATCTGGTATATCTTGCTTGATTTTGGAGCCTATGAGAGTACAGTACAGCAGAATAAAAAATGGTCATATCCATATTGGGTTTTTTTCCTGTGCAAATGCAATTGACCAAAATGTGTGGCATTTTCTTGTACCTATTTGCTAACTATAAGCATCTTAATATTAGCAGGGGTTTCTGACCAGGGTAATTAAATCCTGATCAGAAATCTGTCTTAGTAAACATGAGACAGATTTTACTGTTCCTGTTATGTTACCTATTACTGTTGCCATATCAGTCTTTTGTTTTTAATCTCACATTCTTATCCATTAACAAGCTAGCTAATACTCCCTATTGATATATTGACAGGGTGGCCATCTTTTTGTAATATTGAACAGACAAGACAGACGACATGATAGGTCTTACCACAATGAAACATAAGGCTTTCAAATAAGAAGGAAGATCTGTTCCTTCCGGTATTGTCCATAAAATCTTTTTTTGATCTTAAAAGGTATTTACCTCCATTACTTTTACTCAAGAAACAATTCAGCTACCCTTTACACTGATATCACATGACTAATAAATATTTCCTGCTTAGGAAACAGTGGGTGCGTGTACACAAGATGTTTTACTGAACATTAGACCAATCTAATGCACAGTAAAGTGTCACCCTCTACACATGTGCAGCAATTACTGTGCAGTAGATTAGTCTAATGCACTGTTTTCTAGTATATATAGATCCAGGTACTAGAAATTGGCATATTAAAATAATGTGCTAAAGTGAATGTAGATGCTGACCAGGAGCAAACTGCAGTTTCTGTCTGTTCTTTGAGCTATTTTCAGTCTAGCACCCCCTATTGCTCCCCATCTTGAAAAAAACAACAAAATGTTAAGATAGACACAAGTATACTGATTATTCTTACTGTGCACATCTATACATACAATTAATGGATCTCAATTTTCTGCCACATGGAGATTGGGATGGGTTCTGATCTCCACATGTGAGGCAGCCACCTGGCAGATGGGACAGCTTTCCCCTGCCCCATAGAGATCAGGACACATGCCCCCTGCCAGCCCAGTGCTGGCACCATGGGGAGCCTGGACCTCCCCCTGACTGCTGCAAGGCGGCAGAGCAGGGCAGGAGCAGCTCTAGACTGAACTGCTCCCACTGAGAGCAAATTTGCTCCTGACAGGCATACATTCAGATGCATGCAAGGTGCAGTTTAATGGACCTGAACTCTCTGCACAGAAAATTCAGGCACATTAACTGCTCATGAGTCCAGTAACAATAATTAGTATACTTGTTTCTGCCTTAAAGGTTTGTTCCCCCGCCCAAGATGGGGAGCAAGGAGGGTGCTGGACTGAAGACAGCTTAAAGAACAGATAGAAACTGCAAAGGGCCTGTGGGCAGGTATAAGACAAAGTCAGAAGCAGATGGGAATATGGATGGTATTCATAGAAAAACAGCTAAATGACGAAAGCTTCATAGGGAAGGAATGTGGTATGGTAATACACTCAGACAAACTGACCATCTGAATAATTTAAATAATAATCCAAGACATACATTTCTTTGGATGGTAATGTCTGTTCTCTCAATTGAGAATGGAACACATTGTATATCCTTCCTGGATAATGAAGCGGTAAAGAGTTCACCTCAGAGAGCCTTCACACCTATCTTATTATCCTCAGCTGCTCCACTCCTTTGCATGTTAGAACTGACAGGGATTCTTTGATTTATGTGAGTGGAGAACAGAGCATAGTGGAACTCTGCGGACGCATCTCCACATGCTTAGTAAGGTGACACAATAATCTCCGGCATGCATTGTGCTGGTATTTATTGCTCCCAGGTACTGCATCTACATGTGTGTCTGGGATCGCAGCACATTCTGCTGGGTCGGAGCAGCCCCTGTTGACAGGGGTCCCAGGGGATAAGCCTGCCAGCACAGCTCCCCACCTGACTTAACATGGTCCAGAGGGGCTGGCTGGGGCACAAGGGTACTCCAGTGTGGGGCCAGCAGGCAGGCAGCTCTTGCACAGATCTACCCTCATGCCCCAGCCAGAGTTTACACATGCACTTCTATGGAATAAAAAATTCCACAGCAGGATAGTACTTGCATGTACAAGTACAATGCTGCTGGGAAGTTAATTATTTTACTCCAGCCTAATAGGGCCATATATGTAGATGCAAGACATTTACTGTGGAGTGAATTAGTCGACTCCACAGAAAATGTCTCTTGTAGACACACCATTATATCAGACCTTCTCCCTCCACCTGGACCCACAGCCCCACTACCCATTATGTTGTGGGTGACAGCACGCCTGGTACAGGCATTGGCAGTCTCTATCACCAGCAGAACATTGCCAGGGCATTCTCCCACAGCAAGCTTTAGCCATTTAAAGGCCAGATTGACATATTTATATAGTGTAAAATAGTGAAGTCGGGTATTTGGCTCAATGACCATCTTTTGTTACAAGACTGATAGTCTGGGGGAGTATAGGAGGGTTGGTTACATTTGGAGAGCAGGTAGTAGTTATAGCAAAGAGTAAATTTCCCCTTGCTGTCTCTGGGTGGGTGCTGTGAACCATTCTTCTTGTCACAACATGTTTTTTCGGCGTTTATTGCTATAATGCATTTCTTGCAAGACTGATCTTGAAGACAACATGGGCAGTTAGGGTGGTGCATGATGTCGCTATCTGCCAATTTAATGCTACTGTTAATGGGGATTATTGCATACATTTACTTCACAGACTGTACGACCCTGAGTACAATTTAAGATGCTAACTTTGATCTTTGTAATTGGGTTTAGTTGGATTGTTTATGCTAACAATCAAACTTGGAGGTGGAGAGGAGAAGTTAACAATTTTCCACTGCATTCAATTTTCTTGTGGCATTAATCTAACTTTATTCATTCAGACCACACTGCAAGGCCATTCTGAATGGATTACATTTTTTCTGTTGGGAACTTTTGCTTTTGAATGCTGATTTTCAGTAGGGTTATTTTCAAATGTAAAGTATTTTAAAATATAAAATTATGGTCATCATATACGTAGGTTATAAATCTAAACTATCACAAATACAATGGTAAAAAACCCTAAATATCTGCCAAGTTGTCTACCCAGTTTCTCAATAAGAAAGCTAACATAAAGAATAAAACTTTTTATTTGTACTTCCCTTCCAATTTAATAGGCTGAAAGAAAAATAACTGTACATAGAAAGGCAAAACACACTGGCTACATCTTCAGCTGATGTAGTACAGTGGAGCCCCAATGGTTTCAGTGGAGCTATGCCAATTTATTGTCACTGGGTATCCTGGTTCTATGTGTCTAATTTTCATTTTGATTGGTACGATATAACTTTAAAATGTCTCCTTAAAATTGCTATCAATAAACAAACTGAATAGACGAAAAATTGTGATAACAGGAAAACTTGTGTCTGAGTTGTGTGGAACTTTAGAAACATCTGTCAGTATCACTGAGGACCTGAGCCTTAAATAACCGGTGTTGTCTTGGTGACTAATATAATTTCTTCCACAGAGATACTTAATGCAACTGAGAAGTCAA